TTTCCTTTGTCATAAGTAGAAATCGCCCGCCGAAAATCTGGAACCGACGTCTTATTATTTCTGAAGTCGGTTGCGACAGCCTAGGGCTCTGCTCCGTAATTCTGAATAGAAGATTAAACGACAAATTCCATTTCAGAAAGGAATTTGCGTTGTAGTTTTATTGACTGTCTCTCAATTAATTAATTAATTCCTTAGAATGGCCGAACGTTTTCATGGGATTTCGCTGTTCCGGGCGGAACCGTCACAGGATGTCCAGTGCTCGTGAGCTGAGACAGCCCAAGTTTAATTTTCAGCCGTTTCGGTACCGATATTCTCCTGTGGCGGATTTCCCGTTGCGATTGTGATGTAGACAGTTCTGTACAAAATTTGGCCCGCGTCTCTCCGTGCAACGTGGTTAAGCCTGAAGGTCTCTGCCCCATGAGGTTTGTTTACGTTTAATGGAGTGTTCGATGAACACGCGAAAGAGAAGACGGACAGACAGTGACTTATTTAACTTTACTAAGTTTTGTTAAGCCGACTTCAGTTCATAAACTTTAACAGTGGGACAGCGCGCAGTTCGCACGGCGTGTGCGTGTGAAATTAAACACGAATTTATCAAAAATCGTAAAAATACAAATGAATTGCCGAGCACTGTCCTGTGTTTTCGCTGTTGCAAAAACATCGATGGGCTTGTTACTACGGCGCTAAGAGAACTGGAGTGAGGCGTCTGGTCTGTTGCATTGGTCCTGCTGCGCCCCTCCCGATGACGTCACGCCTCGCCTTGACTGTATTGTCCGCAACAATGGAACACAACAATCGGACCCTTGGGCCGTGTTAGGAAGGCGTGGGGCAGTGGAGGTCTGCTTCGCCCCCGGCGGCGAAACGAAAATCTTGCTTTGCGTCGCATCGCGAGACAAATGAAGATTCTTCAGCGTTGTTCAGTAGTGGCTAGAATTTTTGTAATTTTCTGTTCGTTAGGTCCGCCGTTGCGAATTTCAGAAACTGTTTCGAAATGTGTTGACCGTAACTTGTTCGTAATTGCGTCGCTGTTGTGAGGATCTGAATTTGGCAACTTGCGACGTCTCTTAAACATTGAAGCCGGAATTTACAAGTTCCAATGCAAATTCTGAACGTCCTGCGAGGAACGTTCGAGGACTTGTTGTTGTGATGCGAACTTCCTATTGGCTCGGGGAAGAGCCAGGAAAAGGCGTCTGTCCTTGTTGTCCACGATACAGTCATGTCATTGTCGCTTTGCTATAGCTGATGAGTTAACATTTTGAGAATGAAACAATTTTAGAACTGTTTCAAATACGTAAATAGTCTTACAGCCGTCTTCTGGTTCCTCGTGTGAAAATGTAAGGGGACTTTTTCAAGGTTTTGTTGATCAAAATTTTGAATGTTATTCGTTATAGCTGATTTTTGTTAACATAAGAAATTTGTTTCATTATTAAGTACAGAATAAATATTATAATTATACTGCAGAAGAAGAAACACCTATTTTAAAAAGTAGCGACGTATTTGGTGGTAACGTCCAAAAAATACGTAACATGAGGTAACCAGGAGTAGATGGGAGGATATTAAAGTGCGTCAGAAAACGGGTGTGAAGACATGCTCCAGAAAGTTACTTACCGTGATTGAAATACCAGAATATTTTTTCGGGAGAAAACCATATTACATACGTATCATAAAGAATACATCAGGATTCCAGGAGAGGTCTGTAACATTGCAGAAACTGCCTTACAAGTAGCCTTCGCTTTGCTTATAATTGTTGATAAATAACTTCATGTAGTTTTTAAGACACTGACAGTCCATTAATCTTGAACTGAGATCAAACAGACACAAGGCAGTGTAGAATAGCAACCGCTAATGCGTTCATTTACAGCTAGCACGAGTCTGTTGGCAGCCCTGCTTGCACCGCGCAGTAGCGAGGGAGGTGAAACGCGGGCTGCGTCTTTCACCCCTTGCAGCCCCCGAAGCTCGCCTAAGTAACCTCACATGCAAATCTTAAAACGTGGCTGTGCGTATTTGCCCGCTAATAGCGCGAGAACGGATGTGCCGATTTTCACCAAACTTAGCATGCGTATTTCTTGAGACCAGGAAGAAATCATATGAGGTCAAAAACTCCGAAAAAGTGTCCTGAGTTAGATTCCCGCAGAGGGCGTTTCTCGTAGCTCCAACATTAAGCACGAGAGAGGGAAGGCAGGCCCCAGGGCGAAATTTGTTCGCCTCGGAGAGCAGATTACAGGAGGTAAGGTGAGAAACCCGGAAGTCTCCTAGCTTCGAGTCTCGGTAAAGATTTTTGGTTTAGGGATTTTTTCCCCTGCAGTAGTCAATGATACGGAATTCTCTGACGATACGCGACCCCGACAGAAGATGCCATCTTTTGCGCGGATGATGTAATAGCTCAGCTTTGTTGCTACGTGGCTTCGCGCTTTAAGGGGGCGTCGTGTTTGTGACTGACTTGCTGTAAGGTGGGAAGATTTTATGTTGTTAAATTGATATAGGAAGTCCACATAACAACGCACGGACGAAACTTCAGGGTAACGCTTTTCAAGCCAAGTGTTTCTGGCGAAACTAACGTTTAGTAGAGAGGTTTCCGGCCTATGGAGGTGTGTTCCACGTCTTCGTTTTACCCCTCTGAGCTGCTTCCACACGCGTCACGTCTCGATTCGGTATGTGGACATGAAGACAAGGCTGTGTGCAGGTAGTCTATCCTTCTAGGGTGAACTACAATCGCCCTAGCCAGGGAGAGTCATTTTCAATACCTCAGGATGGATCTAGGAGTGTACACAGCACTGACTAGCGGTGTCCTCCCCTACCCTCTGTAGAGCTCCCTGACCCACTTCTGTAGCTCAGTTGATCAAACAGAGTTCGCTGCCCTGGCTAGGTTTAGTTGGCCGTTCATACATTTCACTTAGTTGCAGTTTAAATAGTTTAGTGCTAACAAGACCACAATGCAATGGGGTGTAGGAACCAAGCTCCTGCTTATTCCGTTCTAGCACTGCACCTTCTAGCCCACATTTTTAGACGTCGTCTTCCCGTCTCTTTAGTAATGTAATGACAAATTTCTGCATGACTCGTGCCTTCAGTTGTTATTTGGAAAAGCACAGAGTGCCAGCCCACATTTTTAGACGTCGTCTTCCCTTCTCTTTAGTAATGTAATGACAAACTTTCTGCATGACTCGTGCCTTCGGTTGTTATTTGGAAAAGCACAGAGTGCGCGCGGAGATGTTGGGTTACTTAGTGCCTTGCTCTGTTGTCATCGGTTCGTGTTCAAAATATGACCAACTTACGATTTCGTGATTTGCCGTTTCAGAAATGCCAACGCGCGACACAGTTCTCCAGACGCACGTACCAATCCAAAACGTACATAATTTGATATTTTGAGTAACACGAAAATCACTTTCTTTTCAGAACTGAAAAACTCTATAGAGACACAAGTGAGCGAGCTGAAGTCTACGATTGAGAGTAAATGTGTTCTCCAGTGAGATGTTAGTGAAGGATCGATATGTATCGACGTTCTGTATGCCGGCAAATAATTGGTCAGAACGAGAGACACAGCTAAGCAAACGCCCGTTCACGATCATTTTGTAAAATGAATTCATTTGATTTAACAAGAGACTGCGATATATATAGTAGCGACCAATTACAATAATAAATAATATTAAAATATGGAGAGTAAATAATTTACTAATTTATAATAAGTAACCATGCTTGCCATGCTGTTAGTTTTTGTAGCATTGTCAGAGTATATATAATGTGAATGATGCAGTTTTTATTGTGGGTTGTAGAAATGATACCAATAAAATGTAAAATTGTAAGTTAGAGCTGAAGACGAGGATGAAGGAGAAAAATATTCACTTCTTTGTACAGAATTGTAAATTTTAATGACTCAAGACATTTGTATCGTATTACTTCAGGTCACAAAAGATGATGATACAATATTAGTATTAATAAGAGCTCAAATATGTTTAAGAGGTTTGTTGTTGAGAAACCGACATGTTGAAATTTTTAGTTTCATTTGTAAAGTTTTATAAAGCTACAAGAATGTGATAAGAAGACGACACCTACACCTCGACACTTTCAGAAAACGTAAGTCATTCTCTGTGTGAAAGAGAGAAAGAATGCGAGTTTATGTATCACATTTTTGTACCTTCCGTTTTAAGAATTTGCATGCAAGTTTTATACAATAAAGTTTTGAACAAACATGTGACAGTAACGAAGGAGAATGTTTTAAAATTAATGTAATCGTGTTCTTAAAATATTTCTATTCTGCTAGACTGTGACTGGTGGCTCCTTTTCTTGGTTGGGTGAACCATTTTGTAAATAAAATTCCCTGCTGGTCATTTTAAGTTAATTGATTTATGCATAATTAGAATTAAGTTGTGTATGTAACACTTTGTAGCTCTTAGTGTGAATTCCCACAAAGTACCACCACATTTTAGAGAGAAAGAAGATGAACTCTAACCAGCCATGGCCGGTTGCAATCATCCAAATTCCTTTTCGTGTAAATATCTGTACTTTTCCCCTCTCTGCGTGTATCTCCAGTGTTTGATTGGCAGTTTAAGAAATAAGACGACTTCAGAGCGCGTGTTCATTTTGTAATACATTCTTTCCGGATTGTCTGGTTCCTTTGTGGAGATTGTTTCCTAGAGAATAAATTCTAATTTTATGGCATGATCTGAACATTGCATGTGTTGAATCTGAATTCTTTATCAAAACATTGTCATTGTTACTCCAAAATTCCGCCGATCTTTGCGTTACTCTCGTGCAAAGGGAGAGACGTTCCGAGTTTGAAATCGTCTCTGACCTAACCTAACCTTTCTTGTCGTTGCGTATTCTTCGTCTTCCTCCTTGATCAACGGCTCCCTCGCACATCCATCTCGTGCTTCTGGCGCTGTTAATGTAATCTCCTTCTGTGTGGGACTTCGTTTCTTTCCACGCGCAGAATATTTATTATTGGGTCTTGCTCACTTGCATATTGCTTGTCTCTTGTTCTCATACTTTAAGAGAATTATAATGTGGAATGTTTGTTCAGTTATCGTTTTATGAATCATCATTCACTTTGGTGATTTAGCTGATTTGGACCTGAGCTGACAATAAATATGGCAGTTTCAAGTTCCATACGTAATGTATGTTCTTTTAGTGTAGCAATTGTCAAAGTTATGCTCAGTTGGAACATTTTGCTTGCTTTCATAATCGAGTAGGATCTTTAGTAGATAAAATGAAACTTTACTACTTCATACGAGAACAATATTAGTAGAAGGCTGCTGAAGGCTTTCAAAATGTCCTTGGCACTTGTACGCCACCTTCATTTTGGTCAGATCATTTACTCTGTAATATGTTTGGCATATTAAATTTTAATCTGATTATTAAAGTGCGATGCTGACCAAAATATTATTTAATATGTATATTGTATGTGGAAGAGTGCGTGCTGTTTTCATCGTCAGTTATATAAAGCGTCTTCGTGTGGGCGAAAGTGTAAACTGCTCACACGTCGTGCGATCCTTTGATGTTCTCAAGGCAGTGAAGAAGGAGATAAGATCTTCTCCGAAACAATGGGAGCCGCTTAAAATGCAGTAGCCCACAATTGACTGCCGTCGTTTGTTTTTATTATCTAATTCTGAACAAATGAAGGTGGGTATTAATTAATATTAGACGTGAAAGAGTGGAACGATATATTGTTCATAACTTGAGGGGAAATTTAAATAAGGTAAAAAGATGAAAATTGAAAGGTATCTTTTCTTGTGTAAATGTGTCTATGAACTCTACACATCACGACTCTTAAAAAACTTTATTAAAACTATTGGAAAATGTAAAAACAATATTATCCATTATTTAAAATTATGTATGTGTATGTAAACTTGCAATTGGAGGTGAAATAATCACAATTCCTGTTTCACTTGCGGTGTAGTAACAAGATTTCCGTGACTGTTTCACGGAAATATTTAATGTCCAATAATGCAAGCATATAATATGAAATATTATCATACGTCAGTACTTTCTAACGTAAATAGTAGAATATATTTTGTTGCAAAACTCTGATGTGTTTTAGCGAAGTGTATCTTAGTAATGGATCCAACAAGAAAAACTAGCCACGTGACCTTCACTTTCACTTGTTACGTAACTTTCTAACCTTCACTACATGTCGCTAGCAGTGGATAGATACTAAGTGTGTAGGAACATTTCTAATAGCTTTGTCTGTGTAACTTAAAAGTTTGGAATTTGGGTGAATCGATGTGACCATGGACCAATACCTGAGTAAGGAAATTTCTTTTCTGTTTAAAGAATTACTTTCCAGAATTCTCTCCGATTTGAAACTTCCTTTGTTTTATTGGAAACCTTTTTATATTAACGCATGAGACGGTGACTTAATTACGACATGCAAGAACAAATTTTAATACATGGACGTACCTTTCCGAAGTATCTATCGAGAGGTTCTGCATGTCTGATGGAAATGAAAGATCTGTGAACTGATTTATTTCGTGGTGGACCACATTTATTAAATATGTGTCCGAGAAATTTGAATTAATATCGCAGTTTTTGTTTTTTAATTTTGTCTTCAGAGTGAGAGCTTTGGACAGCCTCCCTAGAATTTGAGTACTTAATTACTTCATTTTCCTAATGCAAAGGCGTAAAACTTTGAAAACATTCTGCATTTGTGTAAATAGATTCATTGGATATTGGCATTTAGGATGAATAAAATGATAATGTGGCTTAACGTATTTGATCACTGAAACGTTAAATTTGCTAAATTTCTGTTTGAGAATTCACAATGATTATTGACATATTACTTGACTTTTATTCATAGTTTAAGTTGAATTTTCACCATTGATATTTTGGCTGAAAGAACCATTGTAAAGGCTTAACCCGCAAAGAAAATAGACGAACTCGGGAGCGCAGTTCACCGAATACGTAACTTACGCGTTATCCTGACATTCAGAAACTGGTGAGGAAATCCCTTGTGTGTAACTGATCGAACAAAGTTAAATGTTTTACACGCCAACCACAATGACTATCAAAAGATAATTCTCCGACGTAATATCTTACATGTCACATAGTTATAGTCTATACTGCATAGTATGTTTTAGAGCGCAGAGAACGTCTGAAGAGACACAATGGAATTATCCTGTGTATTTTAGATTCTATACAAATTGTTATGAATTACCTTTAATGTGTCTCAATCGAATATTACAAACATGTTTAAAATATACTATACAGTGTCTGATATACTATACGATCGCTTAAAATATCTGTGTATTGGTTTGTGTTCTGTATAAATTAGTCAACATGGGAGTGGAAAGTTTTACGCCATGTTTTATATAGGCAGAGACATTTCAGTGTAAATTCCACCCAAGATTAAACCTACGTGTCCTACGTTTGAAGTATTGTAGGTTACGCCTGAATGTGGTTCTTAGACTGTACTAGCAAAATGTGAAGAGAATTTTAGATTTATTTATATGGAGTCTTAGTTTTAACTGTTTTGAGTGTTTTCTCTCTTGATGTACTAATATTCAATGTCATCTCAAAATATGGATTTATATTTTTGCTGTATAGAATGTCCACCTGTAAAACTCGCCTTAGAGAAGAATAGTTCTGCACTGTGGCCGCCATGTCATTTAGTTCAATATTAAGTAATATTATCACTTTCAACTAATTTTATGGCAATTTCACTTACCTAATACATGCTCGTTCTGTCAGGTGACCGTTAACACTGATTCAAGAAATTACGGAATTTGCAGCGTGTGAAATTTTCTGTGAAGTTAATGAAATTAATATTTTGTGATTTGTGTGTGTAACGACCACAATTTTATTTATATACACATACACACACAAGTGGATTAATTCATTCATAAGTAAGGGATGTCTGTTTTAATTATATATAATTTATAATATTTCCCTTCAACTCCACCCCCAATATCTTGCTGTGTGCATTACGTGCGTTTCCATTGTGGGAAGTAAAAATAACAATTTTTCAAAATATATATATTTCCTCCTCTTCGATGCTGATTGGCCGGACTTGGTCTGTTTCTGGGCGCGAAGCTCTCTGCTAAAACATGATCTTAAATTCTGCCACTTCTTTTGTATGTCTCGACCTAGAAATAGTGACAATATTTTATATAATATAAGTTTATAATACGACCCTACTATTTTATGCTATGTTGTGTGATTTTATGTTACGTTGTACGTGTAGGTCTATTATGTTCTGTGATGTGATAGTATTTATATTGTATTATGACCATATTCTAGACTTGTCCCATTTTTTCAGATATTTGGCAACCGGCGCAAGCTTCAATTCGCTGTCCTTTGAGTTCTTAATTGCACCTTCAACGTTAAGGTTGATAATCAAATGCACCTGCGCCAACATTTGGAGTATTTTACAACCGATCTATATACCAGGAAACATAAAAGAAGAAGATTGGATCAAAATAGCTGATCAATTCTAACAAAGAACCAAGTTTCCCAATGTAATAGGTGCCATTGATGGAAAGCATATTCGCATTATCCAACCTCCTGCAAGTGGATCAACTTTTTACAATTATAAAAAGTATTTTTCACAGGTGTTAATGGCATGGACTGATGCAGATTACAAATTTATATTTATAGATGTCGGATCATACGGATCTTCAAGTGACTCAACCATTTTTAAGAATTCGAAAATGGGGAGAATGTTGGAACCTAACCTAACCTAAACATCCCGACTGGAATGCCTTTGCCTGCTTATGAAGACGACCGAGCGTTGCCGTTCTCTGTTGTGGCGGGGGGGGGGGGTGGTGGGGTGAGACACTTGGTATCGCAACAGGAATTTGGCTGTGATGAAGGGCCCTCCTGTCTGCTATAGATTTATCTCTGTCTGAACTTGATATGCATCGTGTAAGTACACGAGCAATATGATTTATTAGATGTGCTTGTCATGTAAAAGAGTTAAGTCTGTCCAAGAATATGTGGTGCTATTTATCATTACAGTGCCACTTGTAACTTGGTTGTTATATTTCCCGGTGATCAGATTTCGAATATCATTATATTTGTGGAAAGAAGAAAGGCCTTAAAGCACAGTGAAACCAAAATATGTAGCAGTAACAAATCAGTGGCAATAGAAGTTGCATGGGGCTAATGTGATGTGTGTGGGAAGGAGTTGCAGAGTTTTTAGTGAAAATATTATAATGTGGTGTGGAATAATGTCAGCCCCCCCACAGCTAATTTTTTTTTTTGCGGTTGGGGGTGGAGGAGAAAAGAAAGGTTCCAGTATGAATCTGTGAGATAGGGAGTTTACTTTTTTGTTTCACAGTCGTGACCTATATTTGAAGTGATAACTTATGAATGGGTTGGTAGTGAGAATGACAAAATCTGTCTTGTGAAAATGGAAGGTGCGTGCTCATTAACCAGGTAGAAGTGTTAACTGTGTGGTGAAGTAAAACTGTATGTTCTTAGAGGACTGTGATACATGTATGGTGGAATCTTTATTTCTTGAATGTGAATGTATTTCGTCTTTCTAGGAGTAGCAGATTACAAGAAATAGAATGATCCTTCTGAGCGGCATGCTGTATGTAACCTGACCTTCATACAGCTTGCCATAGAAGCAGTGGCAACACTTGGCAGACTGACTTGATATCAGAAGAGGAACCCGTGTCCGCAAGGGACTTATCTCTGCATGAACTTGGCATGCGTTGTGTAAGTACATGAGCATTAGGATGTATTTGATGTGCTTGTCTTATGAGAGATTTAAGTCTGACCAATATTGTATGTGGT